CCACCAGCGGCCAGGCTGGTGTTCAAAGGAAGTTTGCGGGCTCCGCGTCTTTCCGCTCGCTCGCTCTCTCCCTCTTTGCGTCCATCGGGACAAAGAGCGATTCTCAGTCAAGGGCGGGCGCCTCGCGGCAGGGGTGGCCGGCCCAGCGCTGGACGGTGTCCACCAGGGCTTTCTGACCGGGTCAGCAGCTTGGAGATCAGCAGAGAGAGAGAGAGAGGGAGAGGGAGAGACGGGCGAGAGGAAAACAACAGAGCCTTTCTCCCTCCCCGCCCGCCGCGGGAGGACGGAGCACTCGTGCCTCTCTGGTGAGAACGGGAAGAGCAAGGCACCGGGCTGGACAGCAGCGTTTCCTCCTTAGATGGACGACAGGCCCTTAGCCCTGGGTCCGCCGAGGCCGCGCCAAACAGCCCGCTCCTTGCTTCTCAGCCCTTTAATCCACACGGCATCCCTGCGCCTGCCGTTCCCTTTGGAGCCCTCCCAGGGTTCCTGGCAAGTCCCAGCTGGATCGCCGCTGAACTTAGGAAGCGAAGGCCACCCGCGGCGATGCGGGAGGCTGTGAAGGACGGCCCGGGATCTATCTGGGAGGACCACGTCGAGCCTGAGAGCCAGCACCCCTGGGTTCGGGTCCTCGTTCCCACCCCAGGCCTCGGCTTCGCCACGGTCTCCTTCCCTAACTTCTCCGCTGGGGCAGTTGGAACGGCTGGCGGGAGGCCGGCAGGGACAAGAGGATGGATTAAGAACGAGGGAAATGACAGTCCCTTTTTAGGCGGCCCTCTGTGCTGCCCCAGGACCAGCAAGGTGGCAGTTAAGGGAGTTGGAACCGAGCACGACAATCCGAAGGGCCTTCCCAAACCGCCGCTATTGCCCAGGGGAGGGATGACGGAGCATTGGCAGAGCGCCCCAACAGATAGGCCACCCGGTTTGTAAGGGGTGAGGCATCAGAAGTTGTCGAAAGAGCGCTGGTATGAAGTTGAGAGGATACAGATGTTCTCATGTTGGGGCTTTTTTTTTTTTCCCCTAGCGTGGGCAACCACAAAATTCGGGCGAACAGCGGAGCATTTTAGTCAGGAGAATGAAGAGCTGTTTTGCCCCGAGTATTTTCAAATGTCAACAGGATGCTCGGTGAAATGAGCACAATAGAAGGACGAGAAGAAAGAAGCTTCCGATGTTACGAAGATGGGTTTCTGTGACGCATACACATAGGTGTCCAAGGAGTCAGTTCTCAGAAAATCGTCCGCCGCTCCATGTGGGCGCGTTTCCCCAGCAGCTGGACTACATTTCCCAGAACGCCCTGCGCCGCGGGTCACCTCGCGCCTCAAGCGTCTCGGGGCGCAGATGTTCGCGTCCACCGCCTGGGGGCGGGGCGACGTGGGACATCGGGAGCGTCTGATTACGCACTTCCTGCCAGGTCGGGGCCCGAATCAGCGTGTGGCGGGTTCGAGTCCCGCCTCTTGACTCTCGGAGTCCGGGGCGGGGCTCATTTGCGGAGAGTCACCTCGCCTCCGCCAGCGGCAGCGGCGCAGCTTCGGCTTCACCATGGAGGAATACCTGCAGGGTTGTCGAGCCGCTCTGCAGGTAACTGATCTCTCCTGCGCTGTAAGGACTAGCGCGTGGGTCCAGGAGGGACCGGGAGAGCCCCGAAGTCCCTGTGGAGTCGTGGGGAGGGGGTGTGGACGATGCCTCGGCAGGGGCCTGAGGAAGGAGGACCCGGGTTTGAAGGGTGAGAATGTCCCTAGTCGCCCCCTTGTAGGCTCCCGCTTTGGGGACCTACCTGCCTGATGGGGGACAGGGCGGAGCAGCGGTGGGGCTGGGTCCTGCGGTGGAGCCTCAATTCCGAGAAAGGACCAGGCTGAGCCGCCGCCAACCGTGCCCTGGGAGGTGCTCCTCCCGCCCCTCTCAGGTCTCCGCGTACGAGGCCGCTCGTGGCCCACTGGCCTCCAGGTGAACCCCGGGGGCACCGAGGGAACTTGTGTCCACAGACGTATTTCCCTAGGGCGGCGGGTTCCCTCCGACGGGAACCGCACACAGCCTCAGTACGAGATGGCGATGGCGTTTTCTTTTGCATTTAAGCTAAATGTACACAATACATCAGGCATAACGGTTGCCCCCAATCTGCATTGTTTTGCCTCCCGATTTTCTCCTTGGCCTGAATACACAAACTACACAGAAACCCCCTCCTGGGAAGGGATAAGCACGAAGTGTGTTTGGAATCAAAACTATGAGCATGACTCCCGAGTGCTTTGTGGTTTATTTTTGGTACTCTCCCGGCCAGTTGGACGCCCCCGCCGTGCTGACAGGTCTGGCAACATTAGGCTGCCAGCCCCGCTTAGCAGCAAAAACCTGGCCAGGCCTGAGTCGGGGAGGCCCCTCGCAGTTACACTGTTCCCCAGAAATCCTAGGTGGGTTGGGTCCGCTTCTTTTTTGTTTTTTTTTTATAATGTCATGAACTCTTCAAATTCCCCTAGGAAAGAGACTCTGGGTTTAACAAATGTAAAAAGTCACCTCATTGTAGCAGTTGGGGTAAATGAATGGCCTCATTTTTGGACATCGATTACCACATACTACATTTTTCTCTTGTGACATGCAAATGTGGGGGAAATTGCTCTAATTCATCAAGTGTTATAGTTTTGATTACCTGGGATTCCACCCCAGCTCATTAGAGGGCTTTGGGGCACTAAGTGCCAATCAGTTGCATTTCTCCCAGCCCCACTACAGTAACCCAAAGGACTAGTCATTGTTCCACTGTTTGGTAAAGAACACTTGGACCTGGAACCTTCAGAAGCACCTTCTTTGCTTGCCTGAGTCCAGAAGCTTGCCTAACCATGTGGCTGCCACATCACAAGCAGGCTCTGTGGGGTGAAACTGAAGAGCTGTGGGCTGCTTGGCTCCTGGCCTTTCAGTCCCCATAGGAATCCCCCAGGAAGCAAGATCTAGGCCTTCCTTCCTCTAAACGTGAGAATTTGTCTCTCGAAGTTCTCATCATACAGCAGGCCCAAGAGAAATGAGAAAACTTGACCCTAGGAGAGTTAGCAGGGGAAACTGGCGGCAGGATCTACAAATACACAGTAACAATTTGGGTCACTTGTAATTATTTGAAGTAGTATGTGCACATAGGGGGGAAATGCAAATACAAAGAGAGTCTAAAAAGGAAAGAAAAAAAAAGATCCACCCCCCCAGCCCCATATTTCCCCATCTAATTCCCTAGAGGCCACTAATGTTCAGTTTCTTGTAAAGAAAGATGATTTAGACAGACATAGTGTTAAGTTTTGAGAGTTTTCTGTTAGTTCATCTGTATATAGTGTAGCTTTCAGAGCATCGTGGCTTTTGTATGGGTTAGAGACAGCTGATATTCCAGCCAAGTCTGTTGATCATATTTTTAGCATTTGCTGCCAGAGGAACTCTGCCGGTTACAATACAATGTTCTATTAAAAAAGGGGGGGGCAGGGAGTCTGTTTAACTGAATGTCCTATGTGAGGTGACTCATCTTTCAGTTATAGAGAAATTTTTGTGGTGGCACTGCATCCAAGTTTACATATTCACCCTGGAGGCTTTGGGTAATGTGTAGTTTCTTTACCTCTCAGGCTTGAGGCAAGAGTTAGGAGTACCCCGCTATTCTTAGAAATTTGAGGCCCTGGCGTTGTTCCTGAATTTTTCTACTGGATGGCTTCTTAGTCTCTGGCTCCCTGACTCCTCCCTTCCCCCCACCCCCAATTCACTATATTCAGACCACACTCAGCTTCAGACAAGAAATGGTTTTCTTAGCCAGCCCTCTGATCATCTCGACCTCCCAGGGAGGGCACAAAGAAAACACCTGAGTAGGAGTCATTTAAACTACGGAGTATATGTAATACACATACACACATGTATATTTTAAAGAATCCGTTTATATTTAATTGTTTTCAGATTTAATTTCTAACATCTGCAGCTCAGATTTCCTCATGCAGCTAAGTATAGCTATATTTTCTCTGAACGCTTCCTCGGATGGTCCGGGCTCTGGCGCAGTTTGGCTCGTGCTTTCCCCTGTGGGGAGATGAGTTGAGAATGAAGTGTTTTGTAAAATGAAGAAATGAGGGATGCTGTATAAGTTGGGCGGCCAGACGCCTGATTTGCCCAAAACAGTACTGGCTTACTCCAGCACAATCACGAACATTTGACTCTCAAAAGTGTCCTAGTTTGAAAGCCAAGTAGATAGTCACCCAACCCCACCCCAAAGCTATGATAAGGATAAGGAATAAAAAAACCCAAAACAACCCAAACCCCAAATTCACTGCCATGGAGAGATGCCAACTCAACAGCTGACCTTGCAGATGGCAGCCCACTCAGAAGAATTTGGTATACACACCTGGAAAAAGGTAGTGAGCTCCTTGAGGTAGAAGTGAAGTTCCACCTGGCATCTACAAATGGTGGCCGCTGGAGGGGAGGGGAGGAGGATTGCCCTGACCTGGGTGGTCAGAGAAGGCTTCTCAGAGACAGGGAATCTGGGTACTGCTCAAATGGACAGAAGGAGCCTTGGTGGCACAACAGTTAAAGCATGTGGCCACTAATCAAAAGGTCAGTGGTTTGAACCCACCTGCTGCTCTATAGGTGAAAGATGTGGCAACCTGTCTCCGGATCGCTTCCCCTCTGCCATGTGGGGTTCCTGTGAGTCGGAACCAATTCATTGGTCTAGCATTGGATGGGCTGAGGACTAGGGGTGAGTTTGAACAAACAGGGATGCAAAGAAAGGAGAAATGGAAAGGACCTCCTATTTTTGGACTATTAGTAATGCTTATGTGTTACTGCATTTCATTCTCTACTCCACGAAACTGGTCATGGTATTATCCTCATTTTCACCTGAGGAACAGGAAGCCGACAAAGCCACAACACCACAAGTAAGAAGCAGGGCTGGGACTCAACCCCAACGCCTGTGTTCTTTGCAGACGGAGCCTCGGCTGCCATCAGAAAGGGAAGAACAGAGAACGCAAAAGGGCGGAGCTGGGAAGGTGCACCGGTGCCATGGGGCGGTGGAAGGAGCAGTCAGAGTCAGGCTGGGTGCATGGAGGGTGCTGACGCAGGTCCTCCTTTGGTCACCCCGTTTCCAAACTTGCTAGGAGTCCCTTGCGTGTTCCTTCTGCATCGGGTCCTTGAGCTTGCTGAAAGGGTTTTGCTGAGCGCAAGGCGGAAGGCATTTAGGTGCTCAACTTGCAGAGGTCCTGTCTCCTCGCCGCAGAGCTGAGGTTGTAGTTTGGTGCCAACGTTCTGCTTAGCCTTCTCTCTCTTTAAAAATTCATTTTAATTTGTGCTTACATAAACATAATTATTTAAGATTAGTTTTATTGGGCTATAGTTAACGCACCACATCGTTCTCTAGTTGAATCATATAAGAAGGGTGCTGTCATGACCACCATCAACCTTGGAACCTTTTCTTCCTCCATGTACGCAGTGCTGTTGACTCCTCATTTCCCCCACCGTCCCCTTCCACACCCCCCGGTAATTATTATTTCAGTTACTGTCTTCATAAAGACACCTACCTTGCTTCCCTATAGAGAAAAACATAATTTTTATTTTTAAGAGACCATTGATTATAGCCCTAAACTGGACAAATGGAAGACAGAGAGCAAGATATGTTCTCCACGTGGGGGGGGGGGTGACCATTGTCATGGGGCACAATGGTGTCCAAGGCTTGTTGAGATACAGAACTTTAGAAAGGACATGGGGGGTGGGGTCGAGGAAAACTCTCACACACGCATGGCAGGTAGCCAGTCAAAAGATCAGGGTTACATGCGGGGCTACCTGAGCAGGACTGGGACCGTGATTGCAATACGCACAGTGTGGTAGCAGGAGCTTCCGAGATGGGGACAGGGGCCTCTCCAAGGCAGTCAAGGGCATGTCTCGTGTCTGTGTGACAGCCCAGTATGGTGGGGTCCATCAAGGACATACCCAGGCAAGCCCCAAGGGAGACTGCCTCTCCACAGCTTAGCCTTCTCTTAATCTTGGACATCCGACTGACCCTCATTCTCCAGCCACTTGGAATGCAGATCATGAATCTAAATGAGTCTGGGGTGGGTCCTCTCTGTGCCCAGTAAGAGGTCTCTTGCCCTTGCCCTGCCTTTTCTCTGTTCCTCCGACCTTCTTTCTCCAGCATCGGGGGGCACTCGGCCCCTCGTGTTTATATAGTTACTTCTCTACCCCCACTACTGCTTCAGTGAGCACATTATCTCTGCAGCCACTTATCTCAGGTGCTTTGCTGCCACTTCGGTCCACAGCCCATCTGGGCAGTTGTTGGTATCCTGGAAACAGCGCGAGCCTTCTCTGGTACCAGGAGCAGAAATTGCAAGTGAGGTGGGGGGTGGGGGTACTGTAGGGCTGGGGGCTTGGGTACAGAACTCGCTTATTATGTTGGAAAAAGAGTTTAACGTTGAGAAACAACAATCTGTGCTTTCCTGTATGAATGGTCCATGACTGCCCCACTCGTAGAGAAATGGGTGCATGGGAGAACCCAGCGGCAGACTCCCTCCTGGGACCCTCTGCCCAAACTTGCAGCAAATAACCTCTGCCGTTTCTCCTTCCCTAGAGCGACAGGAACAGGGGTGAGTAGGAGCGTGGTTTCTAAACAAAAAGCTGTCTCACAACTAGAAAGGGGCGATTTTAGAAGAAATTTTAGAAGGCTCCTGGTGGTATCAGTTGCCCTTTCTGGCTGGGCCTGCTAGGTTTGGGGAGGAGAGGTGGCCTACAGGAGAAGAGGATTTTCGGTTTCTCTAGACGCGCCTTTTTCTAAAGTCACACTACTTTGCTGCTTTCACTGCTCAGAACTACCTTCCCACTTCTCTAAAGTGCTCCATCTAGAGAATCTTCCCTAGAAAGAACCTAGAAAACATCACGCAGAAGGACCCCACTCACAAGAGGGACCTAGAATAGGCACAGGTGCCAGAGTTTGTTAGTGGCACCCAAGGCAGGGGAAAGGGGCGAAAGGAGAAGCAAGGCTGGGGAGGATATCGTTTCTGTTGATGGGTCGACAGCTGATGCTGGTGATGATCGCTCAGCGTGATTGACGCATGGGTGTCACTGAATTGTACACGGGAGGGGTGTTGAATTGACAAATACCGTGGTTTACATTTACAACCGTTTTTAAAAAGTATAAAAGAGAGGATACTTGTACAATAAGCCAAGTCAGAGACTTTAGGTTCTCTTTCTACCCAGCGGGATGCCCCTGCTTGGAATATAATTAAAATTCTTTTTTTTTTTTTAATTAAAATTCTTAGTGAACCTGGCTTATTGAGTTGTTTTGAGGATTGAATTGAAGGTGAGGCATGAGAAAATATCAAAGCAGTAGCTGGTACACTGAATACATGTTTAAAAGCAAAACAGAAACTGTAGCTGCTGCTGTGGACACTGCAGGTATGCACACGCTTGATTTGTTAGTACTCGATACCCAGGGAGACACAAGCCTAACACTAGCAACAGGGTCCCTCCCTCTTCAGAGTTTTCAAAGTGGCCAGGATCAGAGTTTCTGCAGCATGACCAACCTTCACAACCACTGTTGCATCTGAACTGCTGGGGCAGGAGTCTGTTTCTTGGGTTAGGAGAGGTATTGGTGGTGGGGACTTGGCAGGGGAGGGGGATTTTCATGGGCCAGATCTGATTGTCACCTCTATAGTCTCGTCACCTTCTGCTCATGATCTAGAAGTATACGGATTCGTTCCTTTTGTTTGGAAAACGAGGAAAGCCTAAAGTAACATGCCCACGAGTCTGGCTTTACCAAGTCAGCTACCCCAGATGCTTTAGCTTTGACTTCTCATCAGGTGTCCAAAGAAGCAGCCGTGTTGTTGTCAGGAGCAATTGAGTCTATCCCAGCCTATAGTCACCGACTTGTGGCACAGAACACCCCTCGCTCCTGCATCATCTTCTCATTTGTCCCTAGTTTGAGCCCATTGTGGAAGCCGCTGTGTCAATCCAACTCTTCAAGGGCCTTTCCCACGCTGCCCCTCTACTTCGCTTTATTGCGCTTTCCAGAAGCGGAAGGAATTGTGCAATTATTGACACCTGTTCTTCTGTACGTTAGCATTTAAGGAGACTATAATTGAGAGAAAAGAACCCTTTTAACTGGATATGTGACTTCGTTAAACTGCTTATGTTTATTTTCTATAGAAACTCTTGGTGGCTTTAGAATAACATTTTACGGGGATATGCTTATTCATAACATAAAGACTCGTGAGATTCCCCTAGCTCCTCCAGGAAGATCAATGGGAGGATGAGTGTGAAGCCTCACGCCCTATGAGGATGAGTATAAATCTCCCCTCCCCCCAAAACCTCACTACTATCAGGTTGATTCTGACCCATAGCAAACACTATATAGGGTTTCCAAAACTGTAAATCTTCACAGGCCAAATTCATCTCTCTCCAGCGGAGTCGCTGGTGGGTTTGAACCATTGACATTGTGGTTAGCAGCCTAAGGCCTAAGCGTCACTGCCACCTGGGCACCTTACATAAGTGAGTGAAAATGAGTAGACACGCTTTTGTAAGTTTTCCACTCTCCTTTCTCCCCAGGAATCTCGATCGCTACATATTGTACTGGGCAATGAAGCCTGTGACCTGGACTCCATGGTGTCCGCTCTAGCACTGGCTTTTTACCTATCAAAGGTGAGTGCCGAGGAACAGGGTCCCTTAGAATGAAAAGATGTAGATTCAAGACCCAGCTCGGCCACTTTTAGCCACGGGTAAGTTAAATCCCTTCACTGTGCTGAGTCTCATGCCACCATCTATCAAATCTGTAAGGATAATATTTCATTGTGTTATTGTGCAGCTCAAATGAACAAACACATCTCGAAGGATTTATAAGCTGCGGCGCAGTATTCCATTGGTTATCGAGTACCTTATGTGTGTTCCTCTGCCCAGATCAGCTCCTGAGGACCATGCTTTCTACACTATCTAGGGCGAGGTCTTTTCTCTCTGTCATCAGTTGGCCTCCGTGTTCTTCCTAAGAAGGATGGAGGACCCAAGTGGTCCTTTTCATTTTTTGTAGACTGGCTAATCGTATCTTTGAGAAAGGTACTAAATTGCCCAAGATCCATGACTCACTTGGTCCTCAGGGTCTTGTGCCTTTTCCAAAACATCCCAGTACCTTCTTCTCATTCTCCTCTCCAGACTACTGAAGCTGAGGAGGTCTTCGTGCCGGTTTTAAATATAAAGCGTTCTGAGCTGCCTCTACGAGGTGACAACATCTTCATGCTTCAGAAGGTGAACATTCCGCAGTCCATTTTGATTTTCCGGGATGACATTGACCTCCAGGCACTGCAGCAGGCTGGCCAACTCATCCTCACCCTTGTTGACCACCATGTCCTACCCAAGTAAGTGGAAGAAAGTTGATGGTTCCCGTGGGTCCTGCAGGGGTCTGATGAGTTAAATATAGAAGAAGGAAAGGAGGAGGAAAGGAAGAACGTATTTATTTATTTTGAACTTCTTGTGATTTGGGTGCAAGTTGCAGAGCAAATTCGCTTTTCATTAAGCAGCACTTACATTTTGTGTCCTGGTATTGGTCATAATCCCCCAGTGTAACAGCACTCCCCCACTTGGAAGGAGGAAAGACGGTTTGCTCTCAGGACCTGCACAGAATGGTTGTAATCGGTGGGTGGTAGCAGATACACTCAGTTCTCCAGTTCCTTAAGTAATCAAAAAGCAAACCTGCGGAGTTCAAATTAAAGGAGAATGTAGAAACCATTTTTAAATTTTAATCATTTTACTGGGGGCTCATACAGCTAGCTCTTAATCACAATCGACACATCAATTGTATCAAGCATATTTGTACATACTGCCATCATTATTTTCTAAGCATTTACTATTTGAGTCTTTGGAATTAACTCCTCATTTTTCCCTCCCTTCCCCTCCCTCCCACCCTCATGACCCCTTGATAAATTTAAATTATTATTATTTTCATATCTTACACCAACCGCTGTCTCCCTTCCCCCATGGTTTCTGTTGTTAGTCCCCCTGGGGGCTGGGGGGGTGATGTGTAGATCATTGTGATTGGTTCCCCTTCCTCCCCTCCTCTCCCCGCCTTACCCCAACCCTCCTGGTGTCAAGACTCCCATTCTTGTTCCTGAGGGGTTTATCTGAGCTGCATTGTGTATGTCCTGAGTTCTTATCTGTACCAGTGCACATGCTCCGGTCTAGCCGGAA